TTTATTATAATTTTGGAGCTTTAGAGCGATAAAAAAAAAACTACACAAACAACAGATTTATCGGCGTCTTCAACGTTCCTCTCGACGTTGAAGAAACCCTCGTTACTAGATCCATACATCCTTAGCAGCATCTTGCTCTACAAAAAATCTCTCTCCGTGACTCCTAGATTCTGAAACCCTAACGCTCCAATGATATACCTTATATTTTACTATTTTTTTACTATGGATTTTACTACATTTTCTATGCATTTTATTGCTCTTTTCTATCAAAATAAGTAATTTTCTTGTATATGTAGGTTTTAAAATTTTAACAGGTTAAAACATCAAAAATATGCAAAATGATAAAAAAACGTGTTAACTATGCTACCAATATTTATTGAAATCCACTAACCCAAGTCACTATATCTTCAGGAGCATGCATATTCTGAAGTTGGACAGAACAGATACACCAGAAGTTCACCGATGAAAGGAGGATGAAATAAATTTAGAATTCGATGAAACATGGTGCAAAGATAGCTATTTGAGTTAGTCCAATTGAGTTGGAATCATGTCATTTGAAGCTGTATATAGGAAGATACACTCGATGATATACTGAAGAATAGCCATTTTGCCTTGTAAAAAAGCACGCAAGACAATATTTCCTTTTTACTCTAAACAAAATCCCAACCAATTTAGGACTTCTTGTAATCCATATATACTTGTTTCTAGTCTCTTTAGGAGAAAAGGTAGCCTTAGGAAGCCGCCTATCATTACTCTAAATAATAAAAACGATCATATACTTTTTCTTCATTGGATTTTGAATCTAAGAGCTTTGAGGAGGAGATATCCCTTTGTATTTTGATATAGAGAAGATTTCTTACCTTCTACCTTTAAATTCAATTTATTTATGATGTTTCGTACTTATTATTGTTAATGTGTGTCGTTACTTTAATTATATATGAGTAATTTACTTGTTAGGTCTTAGGTGTTTCAAAGATACCATGTTAATACGTAACTGAATATCGAAATTGGTGGGGTTAATCTAGTGGATTCTTCATATTACTGGTGTGCAAGGTCTGAGCTGGAGTAGCTAACTAGTGAATGGTCTTATATTGATATTCTCTCCAAAAACTTGTTATATCTCCTGAACTAGTATTTGATGAGTAATGCGTCATAACTAGTCGAAAGCAGAGTTATGGAATATTATGAACAATTGGGTCTAGAACAAACTAATGCATAATTTTCACCTTGTAATAACTATTGGTGATTTGAGTCTATTACGGTGTTACTAATGGTTATTACAAGATGCGTCATAACCTGCGATATATTAGTCTATTAGGGTTTTAAAACATAGTGGTCGGAGGCACGCTAGTGGAAAGATTTTACCTTAGTGATTTGAGTTCTAGAACGGTCTTTATAAAAAACCGTAAAATCGATATCTTTATGAGTTTATGCTAATTTGCCTTATGCCTAACGTTTGTCTCTTATTTATTTTTTAGATTTATTACTTGCTTTGTTCTCTCTTTCACGTTTTCATTCATACAAAAAACTCCAAATATTTTGTCTTAACTTAATTTGCATCATATAAATTCGTAGTGTATCATCTCTTCAGTCTCCTATGGATCGATCCCTAAGTACTATTGTGCTTGCATGTGCACTTACAGCTTCTCTAGGTTTTAAATTTAAAGTTCGCAATCTAACCCACATCATCTAACGTCCTCCTCTAATGGCGAAAACCCATATACCTCTCCTGCCTATGACTCCCTTTACACGCCATAATGTTCCAAATCTCTTTCCCAAACGATATTTCTTTGATCTTGACTATGATTAAGCTATCCGTAGGCATATTGGTGTGAATCGCGTTGAAGATCGTTGAATAGAACTTGATCGAGTTACATTCTCGTGTCTCGAGTTACATGAGTTGTGTTCTGAAAGAATGAGAGCGATTACGTTCGTGATTCTGATTAAACTCATGAAATCCCTAATTGCAGCTCCAGTTCAATTGTTAAGCATCTTGTTTATCTGCATAAAACAGTTTACGGGGAACATTTTTTGACAATTACAAACACTATGAGCAATGGCTTTGTTGATCAGTAGATACAGTTGCATGTATTGGATCCGACAAACTTGGTTTCCTCAACTAAGAAAAAGAGACGGAGAGAAAATAATTCTCTAATGGATGAGAATGCGAGAAGAATAATATGTAATGAATTGAATCAAATACAGAGTCTAGAAATTGGGACTTAGAGAGATGAATCCAAGCTCATGGTCTTGAATCTCAAATTTCACAATCACGAAATTGGGTGAAGAAAATGAAGAAGTCGGCTGGTATTGTCGGAATATTAAAACTCCAAATACTAATTTTGTCATTTGCATAACTTGCTAGATTTATACTTCGTGCAAGATAATTCATAGA